CCCGCCACGCCCCCCCCCCGGCCCTGTGCCATGCCCCCACTGGGCACACCCTACACTCACCCAGCTGCTGCAGCGTGGCAGCCTTCACCTGCGCCGAGAGGTTCTCTGTCTGCAGGAGGTTCTCCGTCTGCAGGAGGTTCTCGTACGCCTCCTTGGCGGCACGGTACTTTTTCTGGAGACAGGAGGACGAGAGCAGAGCATTCGTGTTGGGGGGGGCGGGGATGGCAGGCTGGTCTGCTGGGGGGGGGGTGACGGAGTGATGAGAGTTTTACTGCTTCTATGGTCCCTGCCTGGGTGGACACTAGTGGAGCAGAGAGCCCCTCAGGCAGGTGACGACAGGAAGCTGTTCAGACCACCCTGGATGGGGGGCCTGGGATGGCAGGTTGGTCCGCTGGGGGGGGGGGCAGATTAACAGAGTTGGCCCGTCCCTCTTTGTTCGGCAAGATTCACCAAGGTTAGCGTTTCTACCCCAGCGGCTCTGAGCTCCCGTTTCCAAGGCAACACACTGCCATGAGCCGGTCGGAAGCGGGGGGGGGGGGGGTCGCAGAATCCTCCCCCCAAAATGCATCGGCGCTCAATGTGCCAGCCAGCAAGAATACGTCACCTTCTGAGCAGGCAAGAGGGCGAGGACATTCCTAAGGGCTGTCAGGCCAGCAGCGCATTGCCCTGGGGTGCTAATAATGAAGGCAGGCCCCCTCCCACACAGGCCCACACAGACGCTGGGGGTGGGAAGGAGGGGCCTCTCAGCCGGGCCTGCAGATGGCAGCAGTGGCCGCACCCTCAGAGAGGGGCAGGACTCCGCATTCCCTCTCTCCTTATCCGTCACCGGCCTCAGAAGGAAGCCCTGCTCTCCAAGGTAAACATCTCCCTCCAGTCTGGGACCAAGGTGTCACCGCTTCAGGCCCTGAGGCAAGTTAATCCACAGCCTCTCGAACCCGCAACCACCCGCGCCCCAGCCCCTCCATCTGCCAAATGCCCCGTCAGCGGCTGTACTGTGGCACATCCAGTTGACACTTGCGCTTCTGTTTTGCACGCTTTCCACTGCAGATAGTACCAGAACAAACCACAGCGGGAGAGACGAGTCAGCGGTAACCAGACGTTAAACGGCGACTGCACTGACAAGCAGCACGGTAACGTAGTGCACAACTTCACAGGATTGGTGTACCATACAAATGCGGGGATCTTAAAAGGAGGACAGGCTCTAGGGAAACCCAGACCCAGGACGGCACGGCACGCTGTCGGGCGTGAGGTCGAGGCGGCTCCACCGCCACGAGAGCCCGGTGACGACATGCAGATGGCGACCGCCTTTAAAGACACCCGCTGAGCAGCTATAAGCTCCAGCGCATCCTTCAGAAGGAAAGTGGACACGACGGGATGAGAGAGAAAGGCACTTACCTGGATCTCATACAAGTGAGCGATGTGGAACTGAACTGCGAGGAGAGAGGAGACACAGAATCAGCATGCAGCCCAGGCAGCTTTCAACAAACGGCTCAAGTCTGAGCACAGCCACCAATCCCTAGTCTGAGTGCCCCTTTCAACCAGAAAAGCGCCTGTTCTTCCCCCCAGATGGGGGAGGAGACTGGCCGGGCTGCCCTCTGCGTCCAGCAGCTGAAATTCTGCCGTTAGCACTCCCACGTAAGCTGATGGGGGTTTCCTAGGTAACCGGAGCCTCCGGCACATGAGGCGTGAGTGAAATGAAAAATAAATTGAAGCTGTGATGCACTGTCCTTCCTCAGGTGCCACAACACAAGCTGCCGACTGCCTGGGCAGGAGTGTTAAGGAGAATCAGCTCTCTGCTTTAAACGTGCTTTAAACTTCCAGAACAGAAAGCATTTGAGAGGGTACTTACTTTCAGCTTTGGACAAAGTGCAGGGGTTTGAGTCAATTAAAGCCAGCTGAAAATGCTGTGGGGGGGGGGGAGAGAAAAGGGGGAGGTTTAATGTCCCAGAATGAAAATGGCACAGCAGCACATCAACCGAGAGAAGGGACATGAGTGACGGGAGTGACCGACACGGAGCGGCCCGCGGGAGTGACCGACACGGAGCGGCCCGCGGGAGTGACCGACACGGAGCGGCCCGCGGGAGTGACCGAC